GAGGCAGGAATATTGACAGGGTGCTGGGGGGCACTGTTCAGGGGCAGGGAGGAAGAGGGGGGTGAAATGGACCGACGTGAAGAAGGCCCCTGAGAGTGAGATCTCGAGGGTGCGGAGCTGACCCCCCCCCCACACACACACACACAGATGAGGTAGAAAACCCCCACGGGCGGTCGGGACACTGACCGACCAGCGCACCAGACTCTGGAGAATCCTGAGGGCAGGGAACAGGCCCTGGCCGAAGCACAAGGTGGGACCCAGGCCACTTCCCAGCCCCCATGGGGAGGTTCCCAGGACACTGCGATTGTAACAAGCTCCAGCAGCGTTTCAGCCTGGACTGAACCTGCCGGGTGAACAGCCGGCATCTCCCACCAGCTCCACGGATCCGCAACTCCCCAGCCAAGCGGCCGGTCAGCCCAGCCGAGAGCCCCCAGAACACGCACAGCTGCCCCCCAGCGGTCCAGGCAAGTGGCTAGCAGCAGCAAATCAGGAGAGCCGTGGTTGTTCCCAGTTGATCTCAGCACATGGGGCATGTTTGAGATGGGATTTCCCTCCCCCTGGGCCTACAGGCTCCCAGGCAAACAGCCCAGAGCTTAGCAGCACCACGGCCTAACTCCAAAAGTCAAGGAAACTGCAACCAGCCAGGTTTGTGCACCCCCGACACGCAGGACTTCACACCAAAAGCTGGCGCAGACTCAGCTCCCCCAACCTGGGAAACTCAGTTCCCTGCCGCCAGAGCTGAAGGAGACTCCCCAGGGGTGGCTAGCAGTATAGGTGTATGACACACAAATCAGCAGCTCTGACTCCAGCCAGCAGGGGGCAGCCTGGACACATAGCGAGCTGCGGGTTAAGTTAAAATGTTGCACAGATATCTGGATTATCGGGTCTGGGATTTACACCAAGGGGGAGAAGTTTGGCCGCATTCATTCCCCTTCCCCTCCCTCCGCCACGGCAGAGGCTGCCGGTTGTAGGAGTTTCACTGGCATTTTCCCATTAACAGGCCTGGAAAATAACCCCACACAACAGCTCCGGCCACAGCTAGGCAAGCGTCATCCCTCCCCCTGCCGCCACATGCTTCTCCTCTGCCCTGGGGAGACCCCCCAGTCTCTGTGCCGCATTCAGTCCTCGACCACTCTGCCATTGTGCTCCTGCTTGCGGGGAGACGGCGCCAGCCTCCGAGCAGCTGAACGGAGAGCAACAAACCCAGCACCATGTGGTCAGTCACCGGGAGCTCCCGGTCCTCCTGGCTCTGCCGGTGCCCCTCATCCCCGACCCGACCCGCAGCCCCTGCTAGCCCAGCCCTGGGTTCCTCCCCCCAGCTCTGCCAGTGCCCCTCACTCCCGACCCGCAGCCCCTGTTAGCCCAGCCCTGGGTTCCTCCCCCCAGCTCTGCCGGTGCCCCTCACTCCCGACCCGCAGCCCCTGCTAGCCCAGCCCTGGGTTCCTCCCCCCAGCTCTGCCGATGCCCCTCACTCCCGACCCGCAGCCCCTGCTAGCCCAGCCCTGGGCTCCCCCTCCCACAGCTCTGCCGGTGCCCCTCACTCCCGACCCGCAGCCCCTGTTAGCCCAGCCCTGGGTTCCTCCCCCCAGCTCTGCCGATGCCCCTCACTCCCGACCCGCAGCCCCTGTTAGCCCAGCCCTGGGTTCCTCCCCCCAGCTCTGCCGGTGCCCCTCACTCCCGACCCGCAGCCCCTGTTAGCCCAGCCCTGGGTTCCTCCCCACAGCTCTGCCGGTGCCCCTCACTCCCGACCCGCAGCCCCTGCTAGCCCAGCCCTGGGTTCCTCCCCCCAGCTCTGCCGGTGCCCCTCACTCCCGACCCGCAGCCCCTGCTAGCCCAGCCCTGGGTTCCTCCCCCCAGCTCTGCCGGTGCCCCTCACTCCCGACCCGCAGCCCCTGCTAGCCCAGCCCTGGGTTCCTCCCCCCAGCTCTGCCGGTGCCCCTCACTCCCGACCCGCAGCCCCTGCTAGCCCAGCCCTGGGTTCCTCCCCCCAGCTCTGCCGTGCCCCTCCTCCCGACCCGCAGCCCCTGTTAGCCCAGCCCTGGGTTCCTCCCCCAGCTCTGCCGGTGCCCCTCACTCCCGACCCGCAGCCCCTGTTAGCCCAGCCCTGGGTTCCTCCCCACAGCTCTGCCGGTGCCCCTCACTCCCGACCCGCAGCCCCTGCTAGCCCAGCCCTGGGTTCCTCCCCCCAGCTCTGCCGGTGCCCCTCACTCCCGACCCGCAGCCCCTGCTAGCCCAGCCCTGGGTTCCTCCCCCCAGCTCTGCCGGTGCCCCTCACTCCCAACCCGCAGCCCCTGCTAGCCCAGCCCTGGGTTCCTCCCCCCAGTTCTGCCGGTGCCCCTCACCCTCGACCCGCAGCCCCTGCTAGCCCAGCCCATGGCCCTGCCTGTACAGAAACCAGTCAGTAGCGCTGAACCCATCAGCAGTTGTGCTGTGGACTCACCCTCTACTAGGGACCAGGCCAAGACCCAGTAAACTCATTTCACTTGTTCCCCCGGGTAGGATCCGCCCCCCAGCTCCCCAGGGCTGAGCGCTCAGGAAGAGGGGGGGGGTCCAGCTACCCCTGCCGTTCCTCCAGGCCCCTGCTGCCCCTGAAGCCTTGAGCAAGTCCCTGCCCCTCTCCCTGCCTCCAGCCTGGTCCCGGCTGGGATTTCAGCCGCTGCTTTGACTGCTCAGGCTCCGACCGCATAGACGCCGGAGGCTGGGATCCTGGCACAGACCGGGCCTCCGCTTCCCCGGACGTGCAGATGGGGCGGCGTCAGGGCTGCCGGCCGGAGGGATCCAGCACGGGGCCAAGACGCCGGCATTATTACCCTGAGCTGGGGGGCTGCACACAAGTATCATCTCAGGCAGGGGGTGGGGGGGGCGAGCTCTATCCCACCAGCAGGGGGCGCTGGGGCGCAGTTGCCAACAAAACCATGGCTGAGAGGCAAGGCGGGGCGGGGGAGTGGGGGAAGGCATCACAAGACCCAGGGGGCTGGAGGTTATGGGGGGCAGGGGGCTCAGACCAGGCCATGGGGCTGCTGAGAGGAGGAGCAGAAAGCTCCCAACACCCCTAGCTCCCAGCGGGTCAGCGTTAGGCTGACACCTGTCAATCCCAAAATCAATCCCCAAGTCAGGGTAGGAGACCCCATCCGGCCACCAGCCCCTGCTGGTCCCCGACTCCAGAAGAGCCACAGGGCAGGACTGAGCCCAGGTGAGGGAAGTGGCACGGCCTAGCAGCCTGGGACTCGGAGGGACCCAGGTTCAATCCCCGCTCTGCCAGGGGTCCCTCTCCTCTCTGCCTTGATTCCCCCTCTGTGCTGCCGGGGTGAAAACACCCTGCCATGTAACTGCCCTGGGGAGCGCTTCGCAGGTGCTGGACAAAATGCCCTACATCCGAGCCGCAGAAGCCAGGCTGGGTCCACTTCCCAGACCTCTGCCCCACCTCTGATGTTCCCTGGGGCATCAGGATGTGCATCTTATCTGGGGATGGGGGTCTCTGTGTTGGACCCACTCCCCTTAAGATACAGGCAATAAGACCCCCTCCCTGCCCCCAGTCCCAACATCCTCCAGTCCAGAGCCCAGCGTCAGATCCTCCGAACCAGAAACTCTGCCCCAGCACCTCAGGCCTTGCCCTCCCTCACCTAGGGCGAGCCCCTCCCCTAACAAGGTCCCAATCTACAGCGACCTACAGCCCGAGGGCCGGTTCTGATCTTGGCTCTACTGGGGTGAATCCAACCCAATTCCCCGGAGAACAGTTCCCCCGGCGTATGTCCGGGGCAGTTGTTCCAGATTCACCCCGGTGGAGCCGAGATCAGAACCTGGCCCTTGACCGTCCTCTGCAAGTGTCCTGACAGTCGGTGCCCAGCCGATGATCTGGCCCATTGCGGTGCCAGCCTGGAGGAGACCTTGGACAAGCACTTCCGCACTCCCGGCTGAGACCAGGCCAGACTCATTGCCCCTAAGGGGACAGCTCCGATCCCATGCAGCAGCATCCCACCCCCTCCCTGCTGCAGCTGGCCTGGCCTGGAGACCCCTAGAAGTGCCCAGGCATGGAGGAGACGGCCCAGCAGTGGAAGGGGGCTCCAGGGCACCGATGGCCCCTTCCCTCCGCCCTGACACCTAAGGACATGCTGGGCCACAAGCCCAACTGACAGAGCTGGGATGCCAGGCGGGAGCCAGGTTATTTCCACAGGGCTGCGTCAGTCCTTTCAGAAACCCACCCCCCTCACCTGGACCTTGAGGAGCACCTGCGATTCTTCCCCCTCCAACCTGCCCAGGGAATCAACCTGCCCCACTGTGGCCAGAGACCCCCAGCAGGCAGGGATCCGTGCCCAGCGCCAGGTGTGACCCCCAACAATCCCCAGCCATCCACACCCTTCGCCACGCCCCGGCCAGGACCTGGAGAGCCCTGCGCAGGCCGAGCAAACACCGGGGCAGAGTCCAGGACGCTGGAGTGGGGCAGTGGCTTCTCCTTCAACCGGGGGGGGGGGGGGGGCTGACCCCTGGCTGCAGCACCGCCCCCGCCCCCGATGCCCTGACTCCTACTGACCTGGCCTGAGAAGCCTCCCTGGATCCAGGGGCAGAAAAGCAACACTTGAAAATAAACCCGGGCGCTTCAAAACCAACGCACCGGGCGGTGGGGGGGCGGCTGTTGGGCAGAAACTCCTGCCCGCCGCCCCGGGTTTGCACCCGCCCAGCCCTCGCCTCATGCCCCCCACCACCCAGAGCTTTGGGTCGATCGGCCCCACCTCGGGGCGCCGCGGGGAATACCCGGGGCTCGCCCAGGGACTTGGAGACAGCGCCGAGCGCTGCGGGAAGGGGGCGGGGGTAACGGGAGCAGCCCCCTGGAGCAGGCATCCGACCCAGAGGCGAGCAGAGGCTGCGGGAGGGGTGGCGGGGGGGGGTCGCTCTGCGGAGCATGCGCCCCCCCTCCCGGAATCGTGCCCGCTTTGCACAAGTCAATTTGGGGTGGAAAGCACGCGCCGCTGCCCCCCACGCGGGGGGGGGGGTGCAGTTACCTTTCTCCTGCAGAGGGGTGTTCACCTCTTCCTTGCTAACCTGGGTGATGATGGACTGACTGTCCATTAGACCAGAAGGGTTGGCTGGGGGGGTCCCTCCTCCGCCGGCTCCTCCCGCCGCGCTCCGAGCCTCCAGGAGTTACTTCGGGGGCGGCCCGGGCGGCGGGGAGGGGGGGGGAAATTGCCCCCCCCAAGAAAAAGGAAAAAAGGGGGAGGGGGAAACGGGGGGGGGGAAGAGAGAAAAAAACAAAAAAGGGGGAGAGAGAAAAAGACGCCCGCGGAGGAAACTTTGTTACAACATGGAGTTTCCTCTTCACAAATTTCTGCTACAAACATGGAACCCGGACGCGGTTTCAAGGAACCCCTTAAAAGGGCGATGGTGCCCCGGGGCCCAGCCACCCTGGGATGGGGCGCGCCGGCCGCCAAGGTAGGAAGGAGATCCCCCCCTTCCCCTTCCGCCCCCGTGAGTCACTCGGGCCCGTTGCACTGAGCCCCAGCCGCCCGGGTCCCCGAAACGCCCCCGAAGCCAGCCCGCGATCCACCCCAGCAAATATCCGGCAGAGTGGAACTGCTTTTGTCCAGCCCTGAAATGCAGCCAACTCTGGGGTGGGGCAGGGCAGCTGTTTAGTCGAGGCTTGTTTACCTGGTGCTGAGATGCAGCTACCTCTGGGGTGGGGCACAAGCACGGTTTGTCCAGGAATCACTTAATGCCGCGGTGCAGCCGTTTCTGGGATGGGATGCAACAGCAACACAACGGTTTAGGACAGGGAGGGAAGAAGAGCGTACCCAGACGGTCACTGGAGGAGGATTCCAGCCTCTTCCACTTAACGATGAGTTGGAATGGAGCCGGGACAACGGGTTTAACCCCCACGCACACACCTGGGAACAGCAACAAAGGATTTTCAACAGTTACAAACCGCGGGCCTCAGCTTCCCATCTCACCACGGTAGCAAAGCAGCCCCTTGCACCACCCCGCTTCAGTGCCAAACTGTACAGATCCCGCAGCACCTGGCTTCCCTAGGCGGTCTCCCATCCATGCACCAGCCAGGCCCGGCTTGGCTTCTTATGGCTGTTACGTTAACTCCAGCTCAATATCTTCCATGTTGCCCCCCACCCCAGCCTGAGCAGAGGCCCGAGGGTCCCCTTCACACACAGGCACCGGGGGATCCAAGTCCTTGTGTCAGGATGACCACACCAGGGTGGCACCAATGTGGCCCTTTTTTAGGAACTGCCAAGGCCCTGGGGCTCTGAGTGGAGCCAACTGTGGCCCAGCCTGCCCCAGAGCCAGGTTATGACAGAGCTCAGGAGCTGGGGTCTCCACCATTCCTGTCCCTAACTACCCAGCCCCTGCCCCAGGGCATGCATCTCTGGCCCCTTCTTAAACACCATGGGAGGAGCAAATGCCTAGTCCCACCCCCTCCCTCCCAGGTCTGGCAGGGGACAGAGAAGAGAATTTTTTAAGTGACCCCCCCCCCAACCACCATCCAAAAGCAGGAGGGACGGTGGCAGAAATGTGTTTGGATCCAGGCTAACAGGCCAGAGTAGTAGTCCCCAACAGCTCGTCTCAGTGAGTGGCTTTCTGCCCCAGGGCAACATTTCACTGCGAGTGTCCTCCCAGCAGTGCCTAGGGGAGTGTCTACACTGCAGCATAAGCCAGGGTCTGGGGAGCTCAAGCCTGGTGTTTACAAGTCTGTGCTTGAACCTCCACCCTGCCTAGTGACCCTGGGTTTACAGTTTCTGCACCCGTGCGCCCGTGTCCACGCTGCACTAGACAGACCCATCGAACCGGCCTAACTCAAGCTTGCTAGCCCCCTCCCCCGCTGTAGCTGCTCTGGCCCTTTGCTCCTCCTCGTGCACGGTGGGAAAATGGACCCTCCGTCCCGCAGCCGAGCCGCCCTTTGGGTCTGCACACTCCCGGCGAGAGCACCATTGCTTGCGGTTTCCCTGCTGCGTCGGGACATGGGCGGAGCAACCGCAAAACGCTGGTGAACATTTCAGTGGCATTTCCCGGCCCACCGAGGGCACCTGTCGGAGCATGAGACGCACGTGGCAGACATGAACTGGCTGATGCTGCTCATGACCCTGGGCCCAGCCACTGACATCCCCTCCGCGTCGCTGGAGCCCAGCCCCAAGCACAGGCTGGTGGGATCCCATCAGCATGCAGACCCGGGACGGCCGGCAGTGGGTGAAGAAGTTTAGCATGAAGAAAGTGACGTTTCTGGAGCTCTGTGAGCTGCTTGCCCTGACCTGCCAGCATCAGGGTGGCTCCAGTGGTCCAGAAGCAGGTTGCTAGAACCATCTGGAAGCTGGCTACAGCTCTGAATAATGTCCCTGCAGCACTTGCCAGTTTCGAGAGAATGGGGTTTCCAGACTGCGCTGGGACCACTGATGGGATTCACGGGCCCATAGTTTGCCCTCAAGAAGCATAAGTATGTAAATCACCAAGGCTACTACTCCATCATTACACAGGCCCTTGTGGGCCAAAGAGGCCGGTTTATGGATGCCCCCATGGTCTGCACAGGAAAGGTTCATGCTGCCAGGGTTTTCCACCCATCGAGAGTCTACCTTCATGGACAGGCCGGGGCACTATTCCCACCAAGTGACATTGTCATAAATGGAGAAACTCCCACCACGGTTATTCTAGGGGACCCCACGTACCCTCTTTTGCCGTGGCTTATGGAACTGTCTCCCGATCGCCGAGGCCCTGGCAAAGGAAGGTTTGATGACATACTCAGCAGGTGCAGAATGGTGGAGAACGTGCGCTTGGCTGACTGAAATCCTGCTGGCGCTGTCTATAGACCCATTTGGACTCCAGGGTCACCAAGCTGCGTGAATCTCAAGGTGAGCCCCTGGCCCCTGAGCGGACCTAGGATAGTGATGCACTCTGGAGCTGGTACACTCAGCCAGACAGTGCGCAGCTGAAGCAGGATGAAAATGTGCCACAGAAATCAGGGGTGCTGTGTGAACCCCCATTATAGCCTTGCCCAGGCCCCTGGAAGAGGGAGAACAGTAAGTTTATGAATGTATTTGCACAGCCATGCTAGCAGGAGAGGAAGCATTATCCCTGGATGCTATGAATGCAGGGGGGATTGATGGTCATGAATTTTTAATTATGGCTGAAATGACAGCTCGGCAACTGGGCAGGGCCGTGGATTGTGGGACAGGAACTGTGGATTTCCAGTATTCATGAATTGTGCTGAAAGATGTAGTGAGAAATTGAGCCAGGACAGTTTCCCAGCTGTGCCCTCTCATAGCTTTATCTTTAACCCTTGAAAAGTACACATATCATATGATGTGATGGCAAGACACTTGCAACGAAATTAAAGCCTCTCTCTGTTAACATGCCTGTGTGACAACAAACCAATGTCAAAGGACTGACTGGTGGCCAGCTGCCACAAAAACACCAAAACCAGTAATAAAATAAACCGTGTAACAAACATTGAACGATGCAAAAATCGTGCAAACCCAATACACCCCCTACGTCTGCGTGTCCCCTGGGCCCCGTTCTCCTTTCCTTTCCCACCACGAGTAGCATGCACTTGGGAGTGGAGGGCTGCAGGGGGCATGTTTGCTCTGTCCCACTAGCATTGCATAGGCCACCCACCTAGATTATTGTCCAATGCGTTCCTGGCCTGCAGGATGCAGTCAGGGTGAAGCAGTTGCCCAAACTATCATGGCTATTCACACAGGCAGCCTCTCCAACAAATCTTTCTTCTGCACTCTTCTCTGCCTCGAGCGCCAGTCCTCCTCCAGGAAACGCGCTGCACGGCTCTCCTCCCGCGCTGCAGCCTGAACGTACCTTTCCACTTCCCACGTCAGACAGATCTGTGTGTGGACAGAAGAGAGGTTTGGCTCGAGCCTGGGTCTGAGCCCGGGCTTACACTTCACTGTAGACATACCCTGGGTGTATCCTAGTCACTGCCAACCCTGTGCGAATGCTGAGAGGTGAAACACATCACATCTTGTATGGATCCCACAGCAGCTGTGGGTGTATGGATTATCTGATAGGATAGCTCCATTTATGCCTTAAGACAGAGTATATGCTACCTGGTTGAGATTCAATGGCTGTGAAGCATGGTTTACATTCTGCCTGTGTAAATCTGGAGTGACTCCGCTGACTTCAAGGAAGACATTTCTGATTTAAGCGATTGCAACTGAGAGCAGGGTGTCCCCCCCTCCGTTGGAAAATCTGGATTGTTGCAAAACCTCAACCTGACCATTGCACTAACAACGGGTTTTGTAAGTTGTTGCTTTGGGCTTTTCCCCCTTCAACGTGCTCTTTAAACAGATAGTTGAAGGGGCTGTGTGTTGAAATAAACACATTTGAGAGGTGCTCACAAATGCACTCAATAGCCTGCCATGTCTGTAGGCGTTTCCCACAGTAATAAATGCACTTGTGTTCATTTCAGGCTTCAGACGTACACAGCTAGCAGAAACTCTGTGTGGCTCAGATCCCGGAAATGGATCCCTACCCCTGCCTGGAGCCCCACGAAGTTACTCTCGGGGATATAATTGCTCAGGTGCACAAGTATTTGCAGGATCGGGACCCAAGCTATCAACTGCTTTGCCTTCATTCAGGGTGTCTGTCACTTTAATTGCTGGGCAATTTTGCTGGCTTGTATCTGAGGGATAATTTTACAAGCGGGGATCTGGTTTTGGACAGACCAGAGAGCCAGATTTATCTGCCCACGGAAAACAAAAAGCATCCCCTGGACAGTTAAGAGAATCGGGGAAATTAGTCATGGAAAAGGACCATCAGGCTCTCTCCAATCCTCATGCTGGGCCCTATGGTATATTTCCTAGAGCATGTCCAGTCCGGTTTTAGATACCCCATCCCTTCCTCGGGCAAGCTGCTCCCACAACCCAGTGGATCGCACCATCAGAAGCTTCCCCTGATGTTCAGCTTACGTTTCCCAACTTCATTTCATCCCATTTCTCTTATTTAGATCCCCAAGAGCCGCCCTAACTAACTCCTCTTTCTCCAGCATCCATCCTTCCAGCAGCTCTCTGCTCACTGTGTTCTCCAGCTTTTAACCACGCTGGACAGGTCTTTCTCTTTTAACCATTCCTTGTGAGGCACTGTTCTCCCAGCTCCCCTCTGTATTTTTTGAGGTCAAAATTGTTTTTCAACAGGAAATTGGGGGTTTGACTGCTCTTTTTTTTTTGGTAAAAGTGTCTGCTTTCAGTGGGAAATTGTATTTCTTGGTTAAAAAAAAAAAAACTGAACAAAACATTGCAGCTGAAAACCTCCGTGTTTTGACTTGAAAATGCTGCCACCTGCCTCATGGGAGTTGTAGTTCAGTTATGTCATCTCCCCTTTCTGTTCTATAGGCCAAACTCCCT